ATCGACTTCACTGACATGTGAAGTATTAGCTCCCTCTACAGATGTATCACCAAGTTTCCATGTTACTGTTCCTCCCGGAAAGCTTTTGTCTGTAGAGCAGCTAGCTTCATGCGGTCCTACATGTATTATTTCTGTGTCTGCTACAGCATTGCCGTCTATTTCCATGGTGACGTACGTTGCTGGCACTAACACGGTCACATTCATATTGTTGATGGACATGTATTCCCCAAACACACTAGTTGCTATACACGCGTACAATCCTCTGTGTTTAAACTCGACTAACTCGATCACCAGCTCGTCGCCTGCAGCTTGTATCCCCTGGTCATCGTGCAACCATGTGTATGATGGTTCTGGATAGCCGTCAGCATTACAGCGTAGAACCAGCTTCTCTGCCTCGATAATAATGCCGTCATTCTCACTGGAGTTGTTGTTGCTGCTGATGGTCACGGTGTCTGCCATGTACAAAATCTCGGTTGACACTTCATCGGGTAAACGTTGGTGAATAAAGATGTGACAACAAAGTTTTTTGTCAATATCTTCCGTTGAAAACCTGTGACTCAGGATACTTTTTTTTGTAAATGTCTTGTTTCTTGAACCCGCTTCCTCTGTTTGACTGGAGTCGGCAGTGATATCTTTATCATTCAGCCACCAAGTGACGCTAGCTGCTGGTTTACTGCTGTCCGATACACAAGAGAACTGTACCGTTCCATCCGGTGATGAAGAGCTGTCTATAAGATACATGGAAACCGACTGTGGTGACACAAGCACAGTGAGATGAACCTTGTTATAGAAATAGCCGCTCCCCGGCGCGACCTCGACTTGCAGCCATACACAATAGAACTCTGCGTCATCTTTCTCAACTCTCAAGTTAGATATTAGAAAGCTAAAGTTTCCTGTGTTGTACATGTTGGCGTCAATGTAGGAATATCTATCTTCATTGGTAGGACTTACGTAGGAACCGTCACGATACCAATAAACGGAAACGGGAAAATCTTCGCCGGAATTGAAACTAAGGTCAGTCGTGCAGTGCACCGTAACATTGGTACCTTTAACTGCCTCCGTGTCACAGGGTTGCTGCATGAACTGTGTCCTCGCCGCAACTAAGGCTGCGCACAATACACACACCGCCACCAGCTTTACTGCTGCCATTTTTAATCCTGCCCAAGGTTTGCAACCAACAATAAACTATATATAAACTATAATAACGGTAATAACCGTAAACGGTAATAACCGTAAGCGGTACTAACCGTATAAGCGGTAATAACCG